CAAGACCCAACACTCTGGATGAGCTTAAGGCCGCTATCGAAGCATCCTGGGCCTCCATAACACCTCAGCAGTGCCACAGGCTGATTGCCTCCATGCCACGCCGCATTGAAGCAGTCATTCATGCAAAAGGATTCCCGACCAAGTATTGAAAAAATAACTGAACATGATTATTTTAAAGTTGGTGTTTTTTGTATTAAAAACACTTGTCTTTCATTGGTGGGATGAAATATGATAATTTTTTGGGACAGGCATTTTGTGTTTTCATGAGCTGTATGCCATAATCATCAGTATTAAAACAATTAAAGACCTGAAATATTTCAGTTGGTGTGCAATGAATCTGAAATATATGAGTTTCATTTTTATCATTACATTATGGAAAATAATGACCTTTATCACAATATGCTAATTTTTTGAGAAGGACCTGTATTTTGGATAAAAGATGAAACGTTTCAACAAAAAAGGAATCTGTTCACAGGACCTGACTCAAACTTGTTAGGGCTACAGTATAAAGTAGCAGAGAACTACGGTTGTACTGCCAGCAGTTGTTGCTGTTCTGAGTCTGAGCTGCTACAATGTCCGCTCCCCGCCTGGAAATGGCAGAGTTGTTTTGGGGATTTGATAGTCCGGGTGCTCAGTTCTGTTGACAGGGCAGGGCGCCCTCCTTGAATAATGGTAGGGGAAAAACACTGGATGTAAAAAGTGTGCTATATAACAAAAATTTAAATAAACATTGAAAATTGGACTATTGTAGCAATATGGGTTAAATTATCATAAATCCTTGTTTATGAATTTTATTCTGGAGGGGCACACTCTCGAGCTCAGAAAACAACGTCGATGTTGAATGATCTTAGCAAATGTTATTATTTAATTAACCTCAAATTAATCTCTGTGAGTCCTTCACCTTTTGATATATATGGGAAAAATAATGATCATAAGGATGTCGTACATTTAATGATGGCTTTAAACTTGGCAAGCCTGGGTTTATGGAAATTAACTTTGAAATCTAAAATAAGCTTGCTAGCAGAAATGAACAGGTAAATGTAATTATTTGATGGGATTACCAAAAAGGACTGGAGAAAATAAAATTAAACGTAATATTCCGAGGTTTCTCAGCAGGGTAGATTATGATGTATAAAATTATCCAGAAAGAAAGATGCTTTGCTTACACGTCATTTATCACCATAATGGTTAAAATGGGTCTTACATTAAGTGAAATACTGAAGTGAGCTAATCATAATTTGGCTTTAAATGTAATTTTCTTGAGCACCAGACACCATGTCCCAGAGTTAATGAACAGCTTCCTCCTACCCGGGTGTCGACTTCAAACTCAGCTGCCGAGGGGGATATCAGTGTCTCGCTGCTTAGATGGTCTGTGACGTGAAAGTTGATGGTTCCTTCATGTCCCTGGACATCGGTGGCAAGTCATGAGATGGTCAGCTGAACAAAGTCACTTCTCCGGGAGGTCAGGATCGCTCTTATTCGCTCAGGCGACACAGCTGCAGGTGCTTATTTCTGGAGCGCTAAAGGCGGGTCACTGGAAAACTGATTCTATCAAAATCGGCTAAAACTGAAACGTTCTTTGAAGCTTCTGCAGGATGTTCAAGCTTATTTCTTCACAAAAGCTTCTTTTGAACTAGCTCCCTTAGCAACCTTTTCACAGCTCTACTCCCTGATGAAAATCAAACGAGTTTTCCTATGCAGAAGGGAGGAGGTGTGTTTGATCCACCCAATCAGGAAAGAGGGATGGACTTTAGCTTTAGAATTAATTTGGTTTAACTTTATCAACAAATTTAAGAATAATTTGTAATTCACTCTGCAGAGGACCCCTCAGTTAATTAAAAATGTAAAACACTTCTAATCATCTTGTCTTTAAGTGAAATTAAAATCAAATAAAACACTTTTCATTAACTTTGTGAGCAGAAATCAATTTGACATCTTCTGACTAAAGTTGCTTTGCAGTCAGCTGAAAATGGAAAACAAGACAGTTATTACAATTTTCCAGTAAAACAATTACATTTAATTAAAACAATTATTCTCCTTTCAACAGTAATATGGGGAACGTCTGTCAGTCCTGCCAACTGGAGGCAGTGGGAGACTGTGGATGTTCACTGCAAAGGAATTCCTTTGAACAAGCACAATGCCTCTTTCCTGATTTATGACCACTGAAGAGGGAGACGGATCAGAGGACCAAGTGGTACCCAGGGGATCTGTTTAAACTCAGTCACTTTTGGGTCCACAGGAAAGACTTATGGACATATGATCAGATTTACTTGACATTTCAATCGTTTTGGACAGCAGTAAAAGTCTCGCTTGAAACTGTCCAGAAACTTGGAGTTATGAGCAAAAACAAAATGTTTTTCCTAGGAGATGAGGTATCTTCACAGAATTAAATCACTCTGTCCCACCGTATCAGAAAAATAAAAGTATGGTATAAACTTGAGGGAGGTGGATGCATGTTTAACTCTACACTGTTTTGATGATTATTCTGGTTTTAAGGTAACAACAATCCACTTCGGTCATAATCCCACTCAAACTAGCCATTAGTTCAAAAATCCGGTCAAAATTAAACTCGAGTTCTAAACACTAAGGTTACGTGAAAAGCCATCTACGAAGGGTAGCACCGGTATATCAATGAAAGCCTTTCTACATATTGTAATCTCACTCCAAATGATCTGAACAATCTCTTAAAGACCTCAATAAAATTACCAGTACCTATACAATTATTTTAAGCAAAATAATCTACTTTAAAACCAATTATCTGTTCTCAAAACTGCAGTGATGGTTGATATAATAAAAACTGCATGTCGGCACATTTTATAACCTGACTATAAAAGCTGTAAGTGGACAAACTGAGGCTATACAGCTAATCATGTATGTAGGAGATTGAAGGAAAAAGTGACACACAGACTGCGTTCTTAATGCTCAATTCCAATTTTTGCTTAGATCTGATGTTTTAGTGTGGGGTCGTCACAACATTAAAATGCGACAGCCATCTGACTCCAGTGTGCGCTTGCTGTGACCTGCATGAGCAGCACGCTGTGTTTAAGGAAGTAAATATGGATGCTACACATGTTAGCATGTGCGTATCAATTCTGAAGTTGTTGTGCAATCAGAACTGATTATTACCCGACATGACTGTTTCACCCAGTGTTTATATTTAGTCTTGCCTCCTGCAGGCTCCTCCAGCACAGTGTTGTTTTTTTTAGAATGAGAGCAATGTAGAAACAAATGCAAGTATTTATCCCATCATGTTAGAATTGATACGGTCCGACAGTAACGGTAGTGTCATATGTTGCTGTACATTCTCAGTCAAGTTCAAGAATTTTTATTATCCCCGAGGGGCAATTAGTTTCACAGTCAGTAGGTATAAAAGATCCATACTGCACAAGACGTTAAAATAACAATACAGAAATCATCAATGTCCACTGAAAAGCCTGATCACTACAAGGATGAATGTGTTTTTCAGTCTGTTTGTTCTACATCTGGGCTTATTGATTATATCAGTGGTTCCCAACCTGGGGGGGGACACTAGAGAGCACAGGGGGGGTCACATAATTTGTCTGCTCAGAGATTAGAGGTTGTAAAAATATCCATTTATCTGAGTAACAACTTTAGAGAATATGCTTTTGTTTTTAATTCTAATGTTTGAAATGTCACCAAATCCTGATTAACACTGAAGAACCCTCATTTTGGTTATGTTTGAAGAAACTAACATCTGTGCTGTCACTTTAAGAACGCTTTATTAGGACGTCAGTACCGCTTTCAGCTGGCGCTGCCTGAGTGAGAAGAGGCTTTGATGCAGTTTTACGAATCATAGAAGAAGAAAACTAAATTAAAATGCACAATACAAAATTGTGTTCATCTTCTCTTTGAGGAGGAGGCAGGTCCGACCGGACGGTTATTAAAAAAAATTGCATTAAGCTCAGATGGACAACCTGTCACCGACTGCGCACGTCCGCTGAACCACCAGTTAGAAATGGACTTGCGACCTGTCCAGGGTGCCCACTGCCTCTCGCACAGTGATGGCTGGACACGGGCACCAGCGACCCCTGACCCGAAAAGGAAGAAGAGGGTGAGGATGGATAGATTTATTTATTTATTTAAGCACCGGCCGTGCACATCTCCTTGGCTGTGAAGATGAACTTTGTGACCTCCAAGCTGATTCTGTATCCAAAAAAATATTTCCAAGAAAATAGATACAAAAAGTTTTGGACGGTCAAAGGACAAATCCTTGCACCCAGACTGGCCAAACACGACTGATGAGGGTTATTCTTCCATTCAGCACTACTTACCTGTCTGAGGCAGACTTCAGCCTCTTGTGTCAATAAAAACAAAAGCCCACAACAGACTTGATGTCCATCAAGACTTTAGGTTGGCTGTGACAAACACCACACCTGACATCAAACCCTGGTCAGAAACATGCAAGCCCAGGGTGGCCATTAGTTCAAGAATGAACAGACTGACAAAGAGACGCAATGTACTGGTCATTTGAAGTTATTGCTGGGTATTTGTTTTAATAATATGAACAGTGTATAAAAACACACTCATACATTTTAGATATAGATACATAGATATAGCTATATCTTGTTTGTACACAAACTTTGCTGTTTTAATTTTATTTTCCAGCCTGCTGTGCCATCTGTAATTAATTTTTTTTGTCAGTAAGTTGTTTTAGGGTAGCAGGAATAAACTTTGGTATTGGTCCTACTAGGGATAGCCATTACCTCCTTATTCAGATCAGAATTTAATATTTTTCCAAACGGAGATGTCTCAAAAAGCTATCCATCACAGGTAAGACATATATTAAATTTACAAACAAATCCAATTCAAGTCAATATAACTTTCAAGTAAGTAAAAAGCCTTCTGCCCTTTTAACTCTTTTTTTCTGTTGTGTTATACATATTTATGTGTATGTATACAAGTCCTTCTAAAAAAATTAGCATATTGTGATAAAGGTCATTATTTTCCATAATGTAATGATAAA